ATAAATAGCGATAATTTTCTTTATATTACAATTAGATGCGTATTTTTCATATTTTTTGCATTTTCCCAATCTTTTTAAATATTTCAGAATGTTAAGAAAGATGTTTACAAATCCAATAAACTTGACAAAATTTTTGAAGTTTCATCGTGCAATAAATGAGGATGATAATGTATTATATCTTCCACTTGTTATGAATAATGTTTATCTATGTTTTCTCAATTGTAACGGATTTATTTGCCTGGTCTTTTAGTTGTTTAAGTGCCACTATAACGTCACGTAAATTGTTGAAATATCGTACAAATGAAAAATGAAATATATGGCAAAAGGAGTAAATAATGGGCTACTGTGGAAAATTTACTTTTGTACCTTTCGACTTGAGAACATACATCCCACATTTCATCGTTTTTCCGGTCTGTTTCCTCGCGGAGAATCGACGACGTTTTCGTTTGTCGAGAATTATCCCGATAAGAAAACGAACCTTTTGTGATGTCAAGCGTGATGCCTTTATAAATGGATATATATATCAACTAATATACAGAATGTATATAGTGTGTGTGACTGCTCAAAACGAAGGACTTTATTTCAACGAAATCTTATAAATTATTCATATTATTCTGCACATGTTAAAATTGAAAATGCGAAAACTGTTTACTATAAAAATGTCAAATCTCTCTGAAAAATATTTTTGACATTGTTTATTCCCGTTAATTAATTTTCGATTCAATTAAATCGCCTAATAAACAAAATTGGAAAACAAAGCAGCTAAATTAACTCATTTTGTTCATATATTTATGCAAGCTGTAACGCGAAGCTAAAGTGTCTAGAAATTAATCGCAAAATGCATATAAATATTCTAAAATAATAAATTGGTATATGTATACACACAAAAATTATATTTTCAAGTATTATCGGTGAATTTTTTCAATGAATTGCGAGAATATGACGTTATATATTAACAATACTGATTCTCTTTACAGAATTTTTAACAAGAATAAATAAAACTTGTATAATTTTATTTCAAAGTACATTATATAGATGTCATAAATTTCTTCTTCTTTATCCTTATTTAAAAAAAAATGATATCTCTCGTTGCTGAAATATAGGCGAGAAGAGAAAAATAACAGTCTCGTTAGAAAGAGAATCTAAGGAGAAAAAAGGTAATTTTATTAACGAAAGTCTACGTAACACAAGATTAAAACAAAGTACGCGCACAGAGAGAGAACGGTAGAAAAAGCAAAGCAAAATCTCCGACAAAGTGTCCTCGCGAAGTTGAAACGTAATGTAACTCTGTGTGAATTAAGCAAACCAGCGTATATGGTTGGAACAGCTGGCGAAGTGTACACAATTATACGTGACTGCAACATTTGAACGTGGATTAAACGTTTCCCTTGTAATTCAGATTTCAGAGAATCCAAGAGTTTAATCGTTCTTCGATGAATTATCGATATTTTCGCCTATCTTTGCGTCGCTCATTTTCAACTCGAATTTTCAATTAATGTAATAGTAAGTTCATTAATTTTTATTATAAATATTATAAACTTTGTCTTACTATTATCGAAGACTTAAAAGGCCAATAATTTGTTATGTCAATTTTGATATCTTTTGTTTTAAAGTTTAACACAATATTTGCATCTTCAAATATTTTTATTAGTGTGTAAAATAAAGTGTATTTATTTTTTTATTGCAATAAATGGACTATTTAGCATCCTATATATTTGCGAGATGAACTATTAAAATTAAACGCCTTTTGACAATTTTAACTTTGCGTGGGTGTTTAAGTTTTACCTTAGTTGCGGTTGCATCAGGATACAACAAACTGCATCTCGCAATTATCATCATTCAAGCGTCATCGTCGACATATTTTACTTTTCGTTGCATGATTGCGCTAATAAAACTTCATCCATCGTGGGCGTACAAAAAGTTTTTGAATGTGAAATGTTATTAAGATTTATAATAAACACACCTTGCAAACAAACTTTGGTTTATTTTATTTATGCAAGAAAATGTTTTATTTTAAATAAAAAACATGTTTTATCAAAAAATAGTTTTTATAAAAAAAATTGTTTTACATCAAATTTTTGCATGTGTTTTTTGGATTCAGGTTTTGTTATATTACAATATTTTATTTTTATGTTTTTTATCTGTAGATAAATTTAAAAAAATTGAAAATAAGCGACTATATTGAATAACTTTTATTTGTTCACAGACTCTTTCAAAACATATAATCGACAGAATTTATGAAGAAAGTAACAAAAATTGCGAAAAATATAACGTCCAATGAAATTTGAGAGAAAAATTATTCTAAATTTTTATTTACACAGAAATATTATCACATTCGCCAAATACCTGCTATTATGAACCTATTAAGTCCTATATATTCTCATTCAATTCCATTTAATTCAATTTCCTATAAAGTTCGAGCATACCATATATCTCTAGTTCCAAATATTGTTGTCTGCAATGAGAGTTGCTCGATTCGACAGGTCTCAATAAGTTCTGTTAATGTCACACAATGCTACAATTTCTCTGAGACGTAATACGAATTATATATAACGATCGTACTGTACCTGTTATTTGTCTGATATCTGTGCATTTGAAATGTGGATTAATCATTTATTGATTAATTTCTGAAAGTCAGACAACCCTAAGTGGCGACAAAATTCTTTACAGAGAAAACGTTAAATAAAATATTGTTTAAAATAATAAGATGTAGGGGAGAACGAATAAATATGCATATTTTTTAATCTTTTCTCGGTACTCTTATACTCTAATCGCGTACCAAAAAAATGTTCTGAATGAAAATTATCTCAAGATAAATGGAAGAATAATATAGTGAGATGAAATGTAGACGGAATGCTGAAAATTCTTAAATTTGCAGACGGATTTCGCACATGTGTTCGACTAATACATATTTGAAATGGAACTTTGACGATGGCGGCATTTAGTGCAACCGAATATTTAGCTTACGCTTTTGCTTTGACTTTACGTCATTCGCATAAAGCGCACCGTTCTTCCGTATACATATTACAACTTCCGCCACCCGACTTAGGAAGTAATTATACCCAGGTGGTTACAAATTTGTTTTACGACCAAATGTGTTTTAATAAACAAGAAGTCAGAATTTCGTATAAATTTCAGTTTCGTAGAAGTTTCCTCTACAGCGAATAAAAATCATAAAAATTGCGTTTAGATCAATATATTTAGCAAGAATAAAGTCTCGCGAATTCTCGAGGAAAAGATTTCAATCTCTATCCGATTAAATAGTTTGCGTTGTTTCTTACATTTTTCCTTTTTTTTGTTGAATAAAGCGATCAAATTAAATTTTATATGAAAATTTTACGTAGAATATGTCTTGCGTCAGCACTGACGCAATAGTTAATTAAACAAAAGTGAATTTATCAACAACATTTAATTGGGGAACGATAAAAATTTTATAATGAAAATTGAAGAAATTTTGATTGAGTCAACAAAGTCTTTCTCTTTAGAGCAAGGTCTCGGTTTATTAAGACCACTGTGCAGTCAGCAAATACTCTCCCGAGTATTTGATGATGATTGATCGGTATGCGCGTGTGAGAAGAGAAAGATAAAGCTTGAGATCTCCTCTCTCGCATTCCAAAAACGAGGAACCTCCCTTCTATATGTTCTTCAATATCACAAAGGACTCTGTCGGTCGACGTATGTCTTCTCGCTTTATTCGAGTCGACGTCTTTGAGAATGAAATAGTGACGGGAAACGAGAAGGAAAGGAAGAGAAAAAGAGAGAAAGAGCTTGCAATCATGCTAGTATTAGAAAAAAAATAGACACAAAGTTCTCTTTTCTCGCTTTTTTATCTCCTCGCAATTTTCCTCGAACAACTCTCACGTACTTACGTTTGTCGGGACAGATGAAATTGTCGCATATACTTTTCGCAACTTTTGCTGTCTATAAGCTCAAACTCGTATTCTATCCTTTGTGTAAATATATTTTTATCATACCTAACAATGTCATATATGCTTTAAATATCCACATTTTCCAAAATACTTTCAAGCTCTTGTTTTAAAAAATTATAAAAAAATGACATAGATATAAGATATATCAAATAAAACCATAATTTTTTATAAATTATCAGAATATTTAATTTTTTATCTAAATATAAAACTTTATCTATTAACACTCTCTTGAAAATTAAACTGTAATCCTTTAAATTATCTTGGTTAAAAATAAAAAAGATAAATAATAGTACATTTATACTACAAGAAAAATAATCTTGAAATAGAAGGAAAAAATGATAATTAATGTTCGATGATTTTAAGACACTCTGTACAGAATTAATTTCTTCCGTTATTTTATTTATCACGACTCGACAGAAACACACGTTGACATTCAATTATGAAAAATGACATCGAAGGAGCGGAGAAAGACAAGATGGGAAAAGATAAAGTTATTTGCTCGTCAAAGATGCAAATTTGAAATTTGGAGCTACATCGTTGACAATGTGTGTATGCGGCGCGTAAAAGAAAATATATTATAAATATATACATGTATTTCAGAGTCGAAGAAATCTTTTCTTTCGAGAGCAAATTATACGCTCTGCGTCGTTCCAAGTGGTCCTTGTATCTTTAAAAAGTGTTTTATTTGAGAAATTTCCGTACCTTTGCCATTCACGAAACCACAGTTTAATACTTTGCGCAAATGTGGCATTTCACAAATTGATTATAATGCAAAATTTTTAACAAGGTAAACGATTGTATTGTTTACAGACCGTTTTGCAGCCATTGAACATTTTATCTTGAAAATAAAATTATTTATTATACATATATTATATGTGCATGAATGAATGTGTGTGCACCCATCAGAAAAAAAAATAATTAACGTATTCAAAATAATTCATACTACAAATAAATATCGTATAAAAAAACGCAGTGTGTGTAAAAATTTGTAATAAACATATGACACTGCAGTCTTTTATACTTTTTTAATATTTTATTAATTAGTTGACATTAATACCATAATATAATAATAATAAATCTCAAGCACAGCTCTATTATAATATTCATTCACACATATATAATTCAATTCCCTTTTCAAACATTTTTGACATTTATGACTTTTCCGATAAGTATGATGGTTAATTTGTTACATGAATGGTTTGAGCGAATTTCTTTCTGCAAGTTTAATAGCAATTGCAATTTTCTCATTATAACTTAAGAACTGAAAAACATTTTTAAGAAGCTAATGCAGAACTGTGTAAAAGAATCAATATGACGTTTATACAGAATAAGTTGAGACAAAATGTCAGAAGATATCTATTACACAAAGAAAATTTTCTGATACTTTACTCAAATATATGCAACATTCTCATATAAATATATGAATATATAGATGTCTATCGTATCTCGATTGCATAATGCAGTTTCTTGCCACTTCAGATGCAGTGTTAAATCGAGCGAATACAAAAACCTTACAATAGTTTCTATCTGTATTTGTGCATTGATAGACAAAAAATGAGAATGGAAATGGGAGTAATGCATTCTGAATAAGCTCTGGTTAAGCTCACCGTACTCAATTTTGCTGTGCTTATACGGATTACATACATAGAGTTAGATGCCACTGACATTACTTGATCGAAATCTCTCTCTCTCTCTCTCTCTCTCTCTCTCTCTCTCTCTCTCTCTCTCTCTCTCTCTCTCTCGTGCAGCAAGAACTATCGCTATCGATGTACCTTGTTCCCGAAACGTGGCAATTCCTGCGATTATATATAATGGGAGCCAAGATTAAGATTACAACATCACGCATCAGTATGAGTAATGGAGTTGCGGATTCTGCATCAATTGAGATAATACAATATTCGAAGATCGAAGAGCTAATTTTCAAGATAAATCACATCTTTGAGGAAAGTCTTATGTTCGACATTTTTTGAAAATAGATTTGATATTAAAGTTTTAACGCTTTGAAAATAAGTAAGTCTCGATATTGAGATACAAAAACTATTTTCACTATGCCGAAGAAAATAGTTTCTCGCCACGAAACGTTCACCTGATTCAGTGTCTGAGGTATCCACATATAACATAGAATGCACCAGACTGTGTCTCTATATATTCTTTATACTTGTCAACTTAGCCTATAATTCAAAGTCTTGTGTGGAGAGTCAATTTTCAACACAAAACACTTCACTTAATTTTCTTCACACTAAACTGTTTCGAAATACAGTAGATTTCCTAGAAAAAAATCCTGCAAACGCTCGCGCGTTTTTCTCCCTGAGAAAACTCCCGTCGGGTCCCATCCTAGAAATCCTGGTATTTTACATAAAAAAGAATATTTCTATCTGCTTATCGAGAATCGTCACAGTTTATTAAGTGTTCCTGTCGTAAATACTGTGCCGTGCGATGGTCTGCGTGGTGCAGGGGTTGTCCTGGACGGAGCTCAGTCGGACGACCGAGGTTTGTGGTAAATTGGTAGTACTCACGCCATTTTCGTGGCGATTCGTATGATCACCGCTGGTGCACACCATCGCCAGGGCCCCGCTACGATCCCTAGAGCCTTTGCAACGCAGCAGCTCGCGCATACCTTTGCGAAAGTTGCGCGACAAAAAGGCATACAGCAGCGGATTCAAACAGGAATTCATATACGAGATAAGGAAGGTCGACACAGTCAACAGAGTGCTGAAATCCGACGTACGATCGTAGTTCGAGCCCCAGTGCCGCCAGACAATACGTGCCTGCTGGGGTAGGTTGCATATGGCGAACATCATCACCACGGCGATCAACATTCTGTAAAACGGCGTCGAAATTGCTCGAGATTGCTCAAAAACAAGCGCCGCTTTTTAACGAATAAGGGACACCCTTGAAAGTGCCCTTCTTAATTGCCCAATCATTTTCACGACCGTATAGATTATAATAAATCTTTGTTTTAAAATTTTTTATATTACATAAATTAATTATTAATTTTTATATAGGTAATTAATCAAGCGCATTTTAATTTGACATATAATTTGAATTCAATCATTTAGAATTGATTTCGCAATCTTGAGAAATTTACGAGTTTAATTGCAAGTTATATTAAATAAAGTGGAATAACACTACGCTAATTAATATTTTTCTCTTTTAATTAAAATGATATCGTCATAATATTAATTATGACGCGGGTAGTTAAGGTTTTTTTTCCATGTTTGCACATACAGGAAGTTTTTTGGTTTCAATATATAAATTAATAGCATTAAATCTGTAGCAATCGATCACGTTCCTAAGCAAACGAAAAGTGCTTCATTTAATTAAGTTCCACTATAATTCATACTTGCTGAAGCGAATACACTTTACGAATAAAATTGCTCGAAGAAACATTAGTTTCAGCAAAACGGAAATAGAAGATACCGCGTTGTAATGTGTCGGAAATGTAGAATGAATGTCTTACCTGATAACGCCGCGTCTCGCTCTCAGAACATTTCTGCTGGACGTGTGAATGTGATGGACTCTGCCATTTCTACTCCTAGCAACTAATCCGGGTCCTTCAAGAGTGGCGCTGCTTCTCCAGAGGCCGACTGCGATTCTGGTATACAAGCAACTCATGAGGGAAAGCGGCAGAAGATAGAGAAAGACGAGGTTCACTGCGTCCAGGACGTTCTTGTTGTGTTTCTTGATGTTAGCTATGCAGATGATGTCGACGTCGCCGGTGTTCAATTGATTGCTGATAGTTTCCACGTAGAAAAATCTGGGCGAGGCGTACACAGCTGCTAAGATCCACACTACGCCTATTACTATTCTGAGACGACTCCTGGTCAGCATGGATCGACACTTAATAGGGTGGACAATAGCCAGGTAACGTTCAGTGCACACCACCACAAGAATTAGTATACTGGCGGTGTAAGAGAGCGCGTGCACGAACATGTAAACTTTGCAGAGGAAGTCACCCAATTGCCAGCTGTTCATCAGATAATTGATGAGTGTTTGATAAACGCAGAATATGCCCACGCAAAAATCAGCCACCGCCAGATTCGCCAGGAAGAAATTCGTAATGCTGCGCAATCGTCGTGAGAACGTCACAACAAAGATCACCATTAGGTTACCTGAAACACAAAGACATCGAGATTTTGTTAGTTTCAATTATCATAATCAATTTTTTATGAAGGTTCAAAAAGTCGCAATATATTATTTTTTTGAATAAAATACAAATTTATTCTGCACGTTACATACAGCGATTAATATTAAACAACTTTTTATGTACAATAAAATTTTATTAAACTAATTTTTTTTAATTGTAATAAAATATTTTTTGAAGTCAGAATCGAGCTTCAAAAAGACAAAAAAAACTTTTTCTTATCTTTTTTTTGTCCAACTGTGTTATGTGGGGTTATCTTGTAAAAAAGATTTTACTTATTTGAGATTTATTTCGGCGCTAACATGATTCATGATCAAAGACCCTTTATTTTATCGCGATAAAAACATATATCACGTTATCCCCTTCTTGGCAAATAGCTAAAATAAACTATATTGTATAATATAGATCACATTACATGCCTTCATAGGCGGAGAATATTATCGATAACAAGTTGTTTTTTGGAAAGATGTCAAAAATTATCTTAACTTAATTTACGAGAGAGACACTAATTATTGAGAAGCCAGCTTTCTAAATTATTCTACATTGTTTCATTTTTACGATTTGTCATTGCATTCACATTTTTCTTTTTAATACAATTTCTAAGTAGACAAACCGATTATTTTTTAATTGAATTCGCATGCTAGTTTTCTTCTGCAAAACAAAAATTATATCACTGTAATACCTTTAACGAAATAAAAAAACTCGATACATTTATTAAAAATAAAAATAAAATTAAAAAAATACAAATCGGAAGAATAAAAAATATAAAGGTATAATCTTGCTCAATTGACACATTCTAATAAATCGTATATTGTTGCCTTGATTTTTAGTTTTTTTATAATAAAATTAAATGATAATTATTATAATACATTGATAACTTTATTTAGAAAATGAATAAAAAAGTTAAAATAAAGAAAATTGAAAGGAGAGAATTTTTAATATAATTTCCGAATTTTATTTTATTTGCCATTATCTTACTTTGACGCAATATTGTAACTTTATGTAAACAAGATACATTGTATCAGTTGACAAATTAAATTAACTCAAATTAGACTAAAATATAATGAAACACTCTTTAAGATAATCCATTAACGAGTGGTTTTTGGTTTCAGCACTTGAATAATCATTTGCTCTAATGAATTATCAAGTGACCACTACACGAAAACGCACGATAATATGTAATATCATTTTAAGCGAAAAATTTTCCCACGTATCAACGTAAAAGCTTATATGAAGATTAACTAATTAATTTAATTGACAAAATTTATTGATTCATTTTTTTCATGCGGTGTGAGATGTATATATCAAATGTACAATGATGTATTGTAAACAAAAAAATGTAATTTTAACAAGCTTTAAATATCTTTAATTAAATTTTTTGCTAAAATATTCTCCATCTCCATTTCTTGAATCATATCGAGGAATAAGAATGGCAACTGCTATTTAAAATTCGAGGAAACTAAATAGTGATTTTATCCACTCATAGAATATACATATAGAAAGACGAAAGAACAGAGTCGATTTGAGTGAAAAGTTTTAGTGGTCTCAAAGTTGAAATATATATCAGATGCAACGAAAGAAACTTTATAGTTCCGCAACTTATCCCCCTTCGTGGGCTTTATCCCTTTTTCTCCCTCTTTCTCTCTCTCGTTCATGATCGCGCTTTAATCTGTCTTATATTCCTTTGAAGATTCTCTCTGAAATTTCGCATTTCGCGGAATGAGACGATGCAATATCGGCGACGGACAGTTGGAGAATTTAAGCTGCCGGATGATTCGCAGCGGGAGATTTAATGCAAGTTCTTCGACCGTAAATCGACGCACAAAATTCGCATCTCACGTCCAGGACAATACCAATCGATTTTCCCGATAACGAGCTATTTGCATTCAAACATTTTAATTTCAAATCCATGCCAAATTTATAGTCACTTTACTGTGGCAATTTGGATTTACGTGCGTCGATAGCAGAAACAATCAATGTTCACTCCTTCTCGAGAACAAAAGTACATTTGATTTTTTTAAATATTTATATTTTATTAATATTACTAAAACAAACAAGCTCAAGTATATTTTCTTAGAAAAATATTCACTCATGTTAAATGTAAAAAAATGCGAATTTAATAATAATGTTCACTTTATTCATTTGTAAGAGTATTAAAAAAAAGTTCGACGCCTCAAAAAGACATAATTAATTCGTAATTAATATTTGAAATGCTAAATCCAATATTTGATATTATTTTGATTTTTATTTTAAATTTAAGTCGAGCATCTGATCTTAATGTTATACAGGACAATTACGCGAATCATCCTGTATAGCGAGACATCGTTGCAATTGAGAATCGAGCTAAGGTGAAATTTTATTGGCTCTTATTTTGTAAATTCTCAAGCACATCTAGTCGCTAGGTACCATCTGGAATTTTTGATACACGGAGGAGAGGAGAAATTCCTGTTTCCACGATTAAGTATTATCGACGTATTCCAGAATCCGAAGGAGGCAATCTTTGTCGAGCGTGTTCGTCGTAAATAATGGTGATAAAAAACAAACCCCGATAAAATAGATTTTCTGAATTATCGCACGAAGGAGAGAAGGAGAACAGAGACAAGCTGGCATCCCTTCCTCACTTCTGAAAAATAAAGCACGCTTCGTGAGTGGACGCAGAAGCGTGTCCAGAATCATTAGTGCGTCGTCACGTTTTCGAAAATCTACGGATTAATAGATGTAGGTCGGCAAATTAATTAGGAGAATCAGCGAGGAGCTGAGAAATTTGTATTTCAAATAGTGCGTTCCGTTTGCAAAGAAATTAGAAAAAATAGCGCGTTCGGAATTTAATCTTTAAATATGTGCATTCCCTAGTGCGCACATCATCCTTCGAATATATTCAAATTCATATCATTACGTCTCTAACTTGAAAAATATGAGAGAATACAAACGACTGAAAAATTTGATTTAAAAAATTGGCTTTGATATTGATAAAATGTATAATAAAAAAATCCTGAAATTCGATCGACGTAAAAAATTTCCAAAGATAATTATTTGACAATTAATACAATTAGTAGTACAATATTTACAATACACACCTACTTATGTTATAAAAAAATTAATTAATAGAGAAAATTGAGTCAAACGTCAGTTTTTAGAATGAAAATGACGCGATATATTAGGGATGACATATATATATAGGAGATACTAATAATAAGATTACAGGTTCAGTAAAGGGTATTTGACAGCGGCACGTTTTCTCGCAATATGTATTTGTCGGCGATATTTCCGCTTTAGACAGGGTCGACTAGCCGACTATCAGAAATAAGGACCTGAGTTGGAATCGCAAGTCGATGTCGCAAGGGAAATTAATTGACCTCGATGTATGCTTGAGCTACGATAGGCGCCAATTTACGACTGATATTATGTGGGTTTCAAAGAGGTTGTTTATGGGTAGATTTGTGCGTAGATTTCTAATCACTGTGTGCGAGTCAAGACGTTATTCAATTTCGCTGGCGATATTACTAATCCGATGCTATAATTTCAAAATAAAGAAATTTTTCGGAGTGACAGAGAAAATATACTTACCTAGAAAGCTGAAAAAAAAATTTTTATAAAGTATGATATTTACACACATATGACCCAAAATTGACATGAAAAGACAAATATGAGATCGTATTAGATATAAAATTAATCGAACTTGTAATTTTTAATATCAGTATCTTCAATTTATTATTGAACTGATTTTTCCCCCTTTAAGGACTTAGTGTTTTATTTTAATCTTCTGTTCTGGTTTCAGGGTATACAAAAACAACTTGCGTTTTTTACTTTTTAATGAGTTTTTCAATCAATGCTGCGCTTTCGGTAACATTATATATATATATATATACATATATATATATATATATATATATATATATATATAATATTTAACTTCTGTGCATTTTGTTTCTTCAACATTAATTATACAGGTAACCTATACAACTACCAATCAATAAATAAATCCGCAGATTTTAATTGCGAGACCATTTGCTTTCATGTCCAATGCATATGTTTAAATCAATTCTTAAAGTGGATTTCGAGTCAAAGTAAAGAGACTTATTCGAAACAATGTAAACTATAAAAAAATCACAGACCACAATATCTACTTATTGTCAAAATTTTCTTTAATTTATACACCGATAAAGGAAACTTTAATTAAGTCAGTTATTTCGAAAAGGTAATGAACAACAAAGAATAACTATGGAATTACAAATACATACAATTATAGATTTAATTGACAGTAAAATTATATTGCAAATATTTGAATTTAATCGTAACTAGATTTATTTATTATTTAATTCAAAAATGCAATATAATTTAATATATCGGCTTCGTATAAAACTCGTATAATTTGTGAATAAATTCAATTAAAATCCAACATATGAGTTAAACTTTTTTCAATATCACATTTATTATTTTATTTTGATTTAGAAACATGAAATTCAATTCGAGGTGCGTAATAAAAATATTATTATTTTAATTTTCCGAATTAAGACAATTTTCCACGCACGTAAAATTTTGCAGAAAGCATTCTCATATTTTATCGTCGAGACTCTTACGTTTCGGTGGTTCTTTCCACCACGTCAACATGCACGTACGCAATTTCGGGCTGTATGGAAAATCTTGAACACCCTTCTGTTCAATAACGCGATTTCCTATCTCCCACTTTTTTCACATCATAAACCACAACGCGAGAAATTTATTCACGTATCTCTCCGCGAACACACTATAGCTGTCATTACGATCTATATAAAAATGTCTCACACTTTAAAGGAGAAGAATCTCGTAATGTAAAAAGTGAATCTTTTTAATAAAAAAATTGTAAAATAAATAAATAAAAAATAATGTAGCCTATTTTCTTATTTTTCCTCTTATATGATAATATAAAACTAATATTTATATTTTATTCTTCATAAAAATCTTATGGCTAAACTGAGATTTTTATAT